CATCTCACTGTAACGTCCTTCCGAGGTCTATCGCACTACATCAACGCTAACATGTACCACAGACTCAGTCAGCACCCATTTATCTAGGATACCCGTCAAGCCACCAGGTAGCTTATTTCCAATGGGGCCAGGGACGACACAAAAAAGATATACATCCCGACGACGAGGTAAAGAGGAAACATTTCATAGAAAACAAAAGTATCATAAACAGCAAACTAGCAATACTGTCACAGATCAATTATACCATATGTATGCAGAAATGAGTGACATGAACGAAAAGTTGTACAGCAATGACGTAAGTGAAGATGTCCAAGGGTTGGAGATAGCCCTACCTTTCATCGAAGTCTGACTGTAACCTAACCTTAAAATGAATCAAGACATCTTCTTTTGGGAAATTTGCAGTTTGTCTATAAACTTCTTAGATAAATCATGAGGGATCGTGTATGTTCAAGGTGGCATTTCACTTTTTCAGTGATACTGATAGTTATTTACTCACTACACAGAAATGTATCAAGCACGTGAGATTAACCGCCTATTTGAATTTAATATGTCCTCTTACAGAAGAGGTTTTTGTCCTAACTTTATGAACAATTTACACAAATACAACTTGTATTATGTAGTTAACGATTTTTTCAAGGGTTATGTCTTCCTTAACAAATGTCAGTGGACGTGTCGACAACCACATAAGAATGTTTAACAGGCTGCCCAGAAGACTGAATGGTGACGCGTTCTTCTCTCACTTCATACTTTTACATAACAACATACAACTGTATGCTATATGGAAACTTGCTTTACGTTTTCCACAGTTTAATCAACAATTCAAGAAGATTGTCAAACTGTGTGTGGGAATGCGTGACCATAGATATATACTATCAGGTAACTATTGTGGTTATATGTGTAAGACAGTAGGCGTATGTCCGGCCATACCCTCATATGGACTTCACTTGTTGCTAGATGATACGATTGTTGAAGTATAGCCACCTGTACTCAAGGTGCAAGGTTGAGATTCCCCATGCTAATTTGTTACTTGACATAAACCCTAATAATTACTCTACTACTACGTGGTCACTGTCCGAAAACGGAAAATTGCATAAAATAGTATTTGTTTTTTAATTAATTATTTAAATAATTAATTAATTAATTTTTTTACTTTACATATATCAAAGATAATTCTGTAAAGTAACTGAGCCAATATTAGGATATAACATGGGGAAAATCATTAACAATCAATCACTTTAAACATGATACATTAATCAACCTAATATATTTACTAAATCAGAACTGATTTCTATATTCATAAAGGATATTTTACAAAAAGTGACATTAACTTTCGAAATAGAAAATAACAGGTACAATATATATCAAGGGAAAGAACCCTGCCAAAATAAATTGTACTGTGAGGAAATTTAAGATGATTACATTCAGAAATACACAAATTTAAGATGTTTGCTTTCAGACATACACATATTTAAGATGTTTGCTTTCAGACATACACATATTTAAGATGTTTGCTTTCAGACATACACTAATTTAAGATGTTTGCTTTCAGACATACACAAATTTAAGATGTTTGCTTTCAGACATACACTAATTTAAGATTTTGCCGCTCAGACATACACTCATTTAAGATGTTGCCACCCAATTGCCAGGGCGCAGTGTACGTATGTCCGATGGAATTATTTAAATATTTATGTCATTTTAGAACACTTGGTAAAAAATCTGGCAGGATTAATGATGTGTTTTAAAAATACCTCTAATATGCCAGACTGATGTTGATAATTGTGTAAACAACCTTTGTAAAGTTTTTAACGATTGTACTTTGCCGTTTTGTTATGTCAAAGTCAGTGATAATTGTCATGCTCATAAGTACCCTACAAATTCCAATAAGGTTAAAGAGAATAAACCTTGGGTTACAGATGGATGTAAAAATTTGTACATCGATTACAAATGTGCTCTTCGTATTTTCAATAAATGTAAATCAGATACTAATCACGCAAATCTTGTCGGTTCGAAACGTAGATATACAAAATTAGAACTACGATTGAAGCGTCAGTATAGACAGCATGAAGGTGACATGTTACAGTTACAGGTCAAATCCCAAACAATTCTATAAACTTTTCATGTTACAGTTACTTAAAACGTCAAATCCCAAAATATTTCAAAAAATCTTTGTACATATGATGTAAGCTCAAATGTGAACGAAGAAAACTATGAAGAATCTATATATGATGAACTCGACAAGGTTGTTACTAGAGATGAAAGCTAATAAAAGCTGTAGTGAAGATCTTTTTGTAAATGAACTTCAAACTAGAAGTTCATATTGACAAATCTAAAATAGTTGTATTCAGAAATGGTGGGAGATTTGAAAATAATGAGGTGTGGTATTTTATCAATCAACATTTAGATATAGTGGAGGAATTCAACTATCTAGGAATGCTATTTAACTGCAATGGCAAATTTCTTAAAACTCAAAATCATGTTCCACCTCAAGGTAGAAAAACTTTGTTTTCATTAATGTCTAAATTGCGTAACCATTGTTTAAATATTGAAACCCAGTGTGCTTTTTTGGTGACTCGTATGTAAAAAGCATTTTATGTTATGCTTCTGAGATAGATATGGGGATTTCACAAATCACCCGATGTAGAAAAAGTACACCTTGATTTCTGAAAACGTTGTTAGGAGTTCAGAAAAATACTTTCAACCATCTGGTTTATTGTGAGCTTGGTACATTTCCTTTGATTATACATAGAAAATTAAGGATTTTTAAATTCTGGTTGAAGGTGAAACAGAGTGATAACTGTAAATTAAAATCATGTTATGATGAGTGTGTTAATCTAAACGATGTCTGGGTTGCTAATATCAAACAGGAATTATCTGGTCTTGGGTTGGAATATGTGTTTGAAAACAATTTACCTGTTAATGTTGCTTTTAGAATCATAGAACAAAGAATTTTTGACAATAGTAGACAGAACATGTTAGCAAATATATCAAGGTCGCCTACGGTTTTTTTGTATCAGCACCTTGTTGATAATGTTTGCCTTCAATTTCATTTGTGTAAATCTAGAGAAACAAAGTACAAACGTCTTATTACTTGTTTCAGATTGTCGTCACAGTAGACGGAATAATGTTTTTCGTAAAAAATAAACATGTACTCGTTGTACCTCTGGTGATATAGAGGACGAATTTCACTTTATCCTAAAATGTCCTCTTTACCAAAATCTGAGACGTAAATATATCAAACAATTCTATCACAGAAGTCCAAATGTTTTTGAGTTAACGATATTACTGAGCACTAATAATGTAAAAGAATTAAGTAATTTAGGGAAATAGTTATATTGTGCCTCAAGGAAACGCATAGAATTTAGTGACTGATAGAACTAATTGTACACTACAGTATCATTGTAAGCTTACTTTCCATTTAACCTAATTTGCATAACATTCTTTCATATTTGTACCACATCATGTAATTATGTGTTTGTTATTTAACCTATCAGTCGGATGGCTCACGGTAAAAAATGAATGAATGAATGAATGAATGAATATACACCCCTCGACGCAGGTACGTATAACACAGACAAACTGGACTCAATGGTTACCTCTATAACCTTACCTATGCCCCATTCAGTTCTATGATGACCACAATCATTTACAATATCATATGTGACGAAGGCCTTTGATATTCACAGTAATAAACCCTGATGTGATAGTTTAAACTTCTTTCCTCTGTGTTCGAATGGATATATAATTTTATTATATTTCAAAAGCACGTTGCGTGACTTTTAATTTACATATGTACATGTCATATGCGAAGTCATTGATAATATGTTATATGTTGTATGTAAATATGAATATAGAGGCTTTCAGTCAGCGTAAACATGCAGTATATAATGGCAAGTTAATACAAATGATTAAGCCTTCTATTAATGTTCATTTTGAAAAGATCACTTATGTACTTTTTGAGAACACATATTTACAAACATAGCAAGGCTGATCAACACTTCTTCACTAAAAGCGTTGTAAAGAGATATAGACAGTTTCTTGTCTCTGTATTATAGAGTCTCTGAAGTTATTCTCTCATTTTTGCGAACTTAAGCAAGACGCTGCATTCATTCAAGAAATTTAGTTTCGTAAAGAAATTCATCATCACCCTACGGCATCATTTTGTTATGCAAAATCCACTATTAAAACAATCCAGTGGATTCTGCTGATTTCTATTCATATGTCATTCGTTTGTGGACAATAACAATGAAAATACGAAACTGAGACATGCATCGTCGCTGTAAACAGCGGGAAATCGGAATACTGAAATGTGTGTATGCAGATGCACGTAGATCTATCCAGTGTAGATTGTGCCGACTGGTAAGTAATTTGTGATCTTTATTTGTCAACAACAGCTTTTGCGTTTAAAAGAAAATATTGATGTCCACAGCATGTGTTCGTTCAGACCGACAGGTGCTCTGCTCTGATGGCGCATTGTATACGAATCTTGCATCGTGTCAACTGCTTGTAAGTTGTAGTCCACTAAAACTGACAATAATAAGCTAACTCCAAAATTTTGATCGGTCCGCAGTTTGGTACACGTGATTCTGGTATTGGCAATTTTAACAGATTAACAAATCATAACGATGGCAAATCTACTATCACAATCAGCTAATTTGTGCTGAGTATATACCAAAATCCAGACCTGGCACACAAAGCTTACGACTCGTTTTGAGAACGGCCGATAACAGAGACAAATATTACTTGGTAATGTGATTCACACTCGTACTCAACAGAATATTGTGTTTCTACATAAACTTTGTTATAGGAAGACAATTCATACATTGCCTCTCGTATCAATTATCATTTATGTTTACTAAATTATGGAAGGTGCATGTATCAATTTTCAACACCCAAACTTCATTTATACCAAAGAAAAATGAGCATGGGGCATACGATCAGAAAGTCTCAAACAAACATATTTCCATTTAGTTCTTTCTAAATAATCTTTTTCAGTAATCATGGGGATTCAAGGATTACTACCTTTCCTGAAGAAAATTCATTCCCCTGTCAATGTCTCGAAGTTTGAAGGTTGCACAGTTGCTATAGACGCCTACTGTTGGCTTCACAAGGGAGCATTTGCATGTGCTGACAAACTAGCCCTTGGAGAGAAAACGGATGTGTGAGTAATTTCATCTATACTAATGTCCAATGTCCTTCTTATTCAGGGGAGGATCCCTGAATTAGGATGTACAAAATATTTCATTTCCATGATTTTTGGTCATCTGACCCAAAGGGTCAACATGACCTTTTGCTATTGTGCATCATCCATCGTTGTGTGCCGTTCGACGTCCGTAAACTTTTCCTTAAAAACACTACTTTTTAATTCCTAATTCCTGAGTGAATTTCAACCAAATTCGGTTTGGAACATCATTTGGGGTGGGGAATTATTTCTTAAATTCAGAAAGTTTTTCCTACCTCTAGTGACTTTGGGGTCCCAAATGAGGAAGTTAGTCAAATATTTTGCTGCAGAATGCTGCTCTTCCTTAATGCTTGAATAGATTATATACCAAATGTCTGAAATATCATTGTGGGAATTCATCAGAGCTGTCAGACCACCACCTGCAAATTCTGTACTTGTTCCATCCATTTATTAATTGTCAGATGACTGTTTAGGGCCATGGCCCTCTTGTTTGTTATATGTGTTAAGTTACAGTTTAGTGTTCATTGTTTTCTAAGGTATTACCTACACAACAGGTTTAAAGAAAATGTTACATTCTCTCGGAAATCAAATGTAATGAAGTATGGACAAATACTTTATTTATTTCATCATTATTTTTAGTGTTTCATTTACAAAGTAGGAACACATATTCTTCTTTCAATAAGATTTCATATGATCTCGGCTTTCCACATAGGCTACATGGTACAGGTAACCACCGATAAAAACATGGGTAAACTCGTGAAGTATACAATAAACCTTTTAACAACATTAAACTGCTGATGTTATCTTAAAAAGTGTGCATATCAGAATACAGCTATACAGGTGAGTTCTTTACATAAGATAATCACTTGAAGTGTGTCTCCTGGTGCGTAAATTACACAGTGCTGGAACAGGGACAACAGGCAATCATTCGGGCTATATGTGCATTCTTAGCCTCAGGAATATTTAAAGTGATGGCAAACTATTTATATTTACAAGGGCATTAAATGAGATTTCAACAATTACATCATTACACACTCTATCCATAGTTTCATCAGATGTATTACAGAACTTGTGCCCTTCTCCAGGTTTAGAATTGTACATGCCGTGTAGTCATGGCTTTGTATGAGATTTGTTTAAATACAAATCAAAACCTCTGATCACTGTAACATGTATACTGGCCTGTGTTCTTATACAAACTAGATGTAAATTAAGCATACTTAATGTAATTTTTGCGATATTCTGTTGTGTTTACGGGATTTTATTGTCAAAACAAAAACAATGAATATACAGGTATTTCATGCACATGAAGTTCATTGATGGACATAGGCAGGATTTTTTATAATTTCATATTTTTCCCTCTAGTATGATGAAACCGTAGTTGAAATTCACAATATTATGTATGTGTTTCAAAATGTAATGCATGAAGCACCTGGAATAAGTACATGTTTAATTAAATCCTGACTTTCTTATCCTTTAAATGTTTGTGATTCCAGATATGTGTATTACTGTATGAAGTACCTGGAATACATGTTAAAGAAGAATGTCAAGCCTATCATGGTGTTTGATGGGTGTCGCCTGCCTTCAAAAAGAGACGTGGAACAATCACGAAGAGAGTATGTAGCTCACTGATTCATTAGCATAATGAATTGAATGTCACATAGACCTAGGGTTCAGATTTATGTACAGTTTTAAAGTGTTTATCTAGAAATTTTGAAAATCTTACAGGAGACACACAGAATTGGTTTAAATGAATGAATGTCAAACCACACAGGTAGATATACGTGTCCAAAAATAAAAAAAATTCTGTTGGATGGTATAAGGGTGTGTGGTATTAGGGTGTGTGGTATTAGGGTGTGTGATATTAGGGTGTGTGGTGTGGTATTAGGGTGTGTGATATGTACAGGTATGTGTATAACTATGTAAGCCCCTTAGGCCTCTTATTTCTTCTTTGTGGTACCTTCATTAGACAATAGCGACAAGACTGTCAAAGTTCCATGGTGACCAGACTGTCAAAGGTCCATGGTGACTAGACTCTAAGCTCCATGGTGACCAGACTGTCAAAGCTCCATGGTGACCAGACTCTAAGCTCCATGGTGACCAGACTGTCAAAGCTCCATGGTGACCAGACTGTCAAAATTCCATGGTGACCAAATGCTAAGCCCCATGGTGACCAGACTCTAAGCTCCATTGTGACCAGACTCTAAGCTCCATGGTAATCAGACTCTAAACTCCATGGTAACCAGATTGGTAATGACCTTTTTGATGGTCGCTCCCACACTGGTAGTAATGGGTGGGTGGACATTGTTTTGTGATGAAATTCTTTTTTCAATATCAAAATGAAATACAAAAAAAATATCCTCAGCCTAACAACTGATACGATACGATACGATACGATACAATACAATGCAAAACAGAATACTTTTAATTAAAGATTTATTCAAATAACTAATTGTAGTACATCAAGGATAGAAATAAGTATATTTAATCAAGACTATTTAAATCCATTATTAAATTGACAAAGTACAAAGCTATCCAGTATTTGAAATGCAATCATTAAGCCTATTGGTTGTATACTAGAAGCAATATAGAAAAAGGTAGGTTTAAAATTTGACTTTCATTCATAATTATAATATTACAGCTTCATCAAAATTATAGGGGGAAGTGAAAAAACAAGAGATAATGAGAAATTACAAACAATAGTTTATAAATGGGAACAACTTCATATTCAGTTGTAACACAATGACTAAACACAGCGTTTACTTGGGTTGGCCAAAATGTTTATTTCGTCGTATAGTGGTTTTCCATAGTTAGTACTTAACGTTAATATCCATTACAAAAACGTAGTTCCTAATCTACATACAGAAGCATCCTCAGGATCTATAGGTTACCCGTCCATATCAAAGAGTTTCATACAAATGTCCTTGGGCCAACTTGGCCAGGGCCCGCTCCATCACGGAGCAGGTCCCGTACGGGACTCTGCCCGTCTCCACATCTGACTCCCAACTCTCTCTAGCTACTCGATCCCAGACTAACTTCTGCTGGCTATTGTCTTAATATAAATAATACCCAAATACTTAATTTCAGCCCAGTCCCTATTGGACAACAATAACCCAACCCACGGAGCATTTAATTATGAAGGCATGTGCAACTAGGAGTATCCGTTATCAACTGCCTATCTTTGATCTACTTTATACATTGTTTCTTATCTTGTTTACATACAAATACATTCGCCAGTACGAGGCAGACAGGAGAGAGCATCTACCTGTTCTGATCACTCATACCGGCGATATTCTGCCACGGTGTTTCAACTCTGAGGTGCACTCCCCTCCCGTTATCAGGCAGGCGTGCGTGCATCACTACCTGTCACTCACAGGCCGTTAAGCCTGGTCCAGTGCCTGACTTATGACACCTGTTGTTATTGCTCCCTTAGATACCATTTGTACTTGAATTTCTGACCCAAAATGTACTTTGGATTTGTCATTCCACTTTCTGACGCCTTTATTACTAACCAACATGGCCATCAGTTAAAGCTGATAACTACCATGGTTACATACACAGATGGGCTTCTATTTCATGTAAGTTAATGAATGACAACTGTAACCAGTGTTTATTTTTGAAGTGATGAACTCTGATATAATCACAGGCTAACTAGTAATTGACTGTCAGTTGAATCTTCAGACATGGACACCCATGTTGTCCTCTAGCCTTAAGGGGGTAGGGTAGGCTGATTATGGATGGTTCACACCCCTTTGGTGTACACTAGATGCCACAGTGTCTCATTTGGATCTCCCAGAGTTATGTCCTTTTTCACTCTGTCAGTACCTCTGATGTATCCTGCAACTTTTTCTGGATTGAGGCTCTGTGCTTTATGTTACAAAGTGTCATAACAAATATCTCTGGGTAGAAATTGGTAGCAGTTTGGTTTCAACCAATCAAAGCTCATCTTTCATACATTGTTCGCTTTAAGATAAGGGCTAATAACATACATTATTATAAGTCTCTGAATTAATATTCTCCAAGATGTAAATTTCACGCTTGTGGTCAAATCCCGTTTCACCTCTATTTATTTTGTGATTCTTGTTTTTCAATAATGAATAAAATATGTTTAAACTAACAAAGTACCAAGATGGATTTGAACAGTCGTAATGCTTCAGTATTGTTCAAAGAAGAACAGCCAAATATTGTGCAGATACCTATCATTATCAATAATATTGTTACATTTTTAGAACCGTATTAAAACACATGTCATCCACAAACTGTTCATTATATCATCTGAAAAGGCTATAAAATTGTCCATCTGACTTAAAGTGTGCTTGTCAGTAATGGACGATGATACATTTTTTTTAAAAATGAGAACACAAACTGACCAAGGATGCATGATGTAGACCTATATTCTATAGACACATAGATGCATATACATCTAAGTACTTTATAGAAATGTTATTAAAACCTAGTAAGGTGGCAACACTTTTCCTGTGCCTGTAAATTTACAATATTGGTTTTTGTTGCATATTGGAAAATATATATCATTAATTGTTGAAAGTCTTTTATATATTGGTAGATGGCTGTTACAGAATACTCTTACCGTGAAAGTGATTGGTTGATTTCATGATATAGTGGTTTTGAAATAGTCTCTCCTTTTTAGCCATTAGGTTTTTCATCTTGTAGTATTTTGTTTTCATCAAATTCATTGTTAACTTTCTGGTTTGTCCAGGTAGGGTATTTACATCTTTTCATATGGTGCTATGGATGTGATTTTGGTTTTGCATCTTTAAAAATTACTCTTTCAAAATTTCCTTGTGAATATACTAATTTTCTTTAAAAAAATCAGGAAAATGCCCCTTTCCAAACATTGATAAAAAAAACCCTCCAGTTTTGTTCTGTGATAAGGCAACCTACCATGGGTCATTGATTATGTACTGGAGACATTGGTTTATTGTAGGATAGATATGAGAAAGAAATATGAATTGGTAAAATTTTGTATCTTTGTAGAAAGCGTGAGATGTACAGGAAAAAGGCAGCCCAGATGTTGAGAGAAGGAAAGCGTGCCGAGGCTAGAGAATGTTTACAGCGATGTATAGACATCAGTCCCGAGATGGCTTTGGAACTGATGAATGTTAGTACAGGTTTCATATATATATGTTTCCTTGGCGAATACCTGTAAATGAGTGAAAACAAAATGACATTTGTGCAATATTAGAAAATGGTAATGTTTTACATTACAGAATCCAAGGGGGTTACCAAAATCATTCAAGTGTGAAAGTCTGTATTAGCGAAAGAGCTGCACGAGGTTTATCTGCAATTAACTAGTATCTTCGCTTGAATTTCATAAACATTCAAACTGACAACTGTTCCTTAGATCCTTAGGACTTAGAAATCACCGAATCTTGCTATCTATCATTTTTATCATTATGCCCCGGCTGTCACAAGTACAGAGAGACAGGGCTGTAGGCATGATCCAGACTGGGGAGTCTCGCCGTCGAGTTGCATGGCATTTTGGTTGCAGTGTTAAGACAATTTGCCAGTTGGTAAGTCGTTTAAACCAAACTGGGTCAACATCTGATCGTCCCCGAAGCGGCTGACCCCGTAAAACGACTGGCAGGGATGACCGTTGTATACGATTGATACACTTGCTCACTTGATTCGTAACCGCAGTAGAGACTACGAGGACATTGTTTGGGCGTCGTGTGTCGCCCCAAACAGTCCGCAACAGGTTGAGGGCATATCAATTGAAAGCGCGGCGTCCCTACACTGGACCCAATTTGTTGCGACGTCATCGTAATAATCGGCATAACTGGACCCGTGTTCACCGTCATTGGGCCTTACGACAATGGAACAATGTTCTGTTTTCAGATGAGCCCAGGTTTAGTCTGCAACAGGGTGATGGAAGGCGCAGAGTGTGGAGGTGATGAGGGGAGCGTTTTGCGAACTGCTGTGTCGCAGAACGGGACTGCTTTGGTGGCGGAAGTGTTTGGGGTGGTATTTGTAGGGGGACTCGTACCAGGCTTGTTGTGTTAAATGGCAATTTAACCGGCATTCGATATTGGGACGAAATTTTAAGACCAGTGGTTCTGCCATTCTTAAGACGCCATGGCTTTGACGCCATTTTTCAACAGGATAATGCACCAGCGCCCACCAGTCGCGTCAGCAGAACGTTTTTGCAGCAGAATTATGTACAGGTATTAGATTGGCCATCTAAATAACCTGATTTGTCACCGATTGAGCATGTCTGGGACGTTCTTGGGCGACGCGTAATGGAACATCATCTCTCCTTGAATTATCCTCCGGTTTACGAGTTCCATGCGACGACGCTGCAATGCTGTTTACTTCGCAAACGGTGGCCATACCCGTTACTAATGGTGTTACCTTTGAAATTGACCCCAACGTCCTTTACAGTCGAATAAAATCAACTGAACGCAAAGTTTTATAATGAACCATGACTGCAGTTTTATCAGAATTGATCGATTACTTTATTCGTACATGATTGGTAAGGATTTATGAAGGGGTTAATTAATTAATCACAGTACTGTATACACTGTACTGTACTGTACTGTACTGTTCTGTTCTGTTCTGTTCTGTTCTGTTCTGTTCTGTTCTGTTCTGTTCTGTACTGTACTGTACTGTACTGTACTGTATACACTGTACTGTACTGACTGTATACACTGTACTGTACTGTACTGTACTGTACTGTACTGTACTGTTCTGTTCTGTTCTGTTCTGTTCTGTTCTGTTCTGTTCTGTTCTGTACTGTACTGTACTGTATACACTGTACTGTACTGTACTGTACTGTACTGACTGTATACACTGTACTGTACTTTACTGTATACACTGTCTTGTACTGTACTGTACTGTACTGTATTGAACTAACCTGGGTAAAACTACTTCACTATTTTAGGATTGACTATTGTGTTCTGTTACAGGCATGTCATGTCTGTGGGATTGACTGTATTGTGTTCTGTTACAGGCATGTCATGTCTGTGGGATTGACTGTATTGTGTTCTGTTACAGGCATGTCATGTCTGTGGGATTGACTGTATTGTGTTCTGTTACAGACATGTCATGTCTCTGGGATTGACTGTATCGTGTTCTGTTACAGACATGTCGTGCCCGTGGGATTGACTGTATCATGTTCTGTTACAGACATGTTGTGTCTGTGGGATTGACTGTATTGTGTTCTGTTACAGACATGCTGTGTCTGTGGGATTGACTGTATCGTGTTCTGTTACAGACATGTCATGTCTGTGGGATTGACTGTATTATGTTCGGTTACAGACATGCCGTGTCTGTGGGATTGACTGTATCATGTTCTGTTACAGACATGTCGTGCCCGTGGGATTAACTGTGTGTTCTGTTACAGACATGTTGCGTCTGTGGGATTGACTGTATTGTGTTCTGTTACAGACATGTCATGTCTGTGGGATTGACTGTATCATGTTCTGTTACAGACATGTTGTGTCTGTGGGATTGACTGTATTGTGTTCTGTTACAGACATGCTGTGTCTGTGGGATTGACTGTATCATGTTCTGTTACAGACATGTTGTGTCTGTGGGATTGACTGTATTGTGTTCTGTTACAGACATGTCGTGCCCGTGGGATTGACTGTATTGTGGCACCATATGAAGCAGATGCCCAGCTGGCTTTCCTTTGTAAACAAGGCATTGCACAAGCCATTATTACAGAGGACTCTGATCTTCTTCTGTTTGGCTGTCAACGGGTATATAAAGAATTTAAATAAGATCTGAACCCTTTGAGTTTGTATTTCTCCAGCAAACTATTGTGTTGTCATCCAAGTCATGTTCTTATTAATAATTTAGTATTTGATGTGAATTCAGAAAAACAAAGATTCTGTCCTGAAGTCAAAGACCATATGAAGTTATGTTATGACAATTGTATAGAGGGGAGTACATGTCTAATCCTAAAATGATCATAATTGCCCAATCAGATTATTCCAGATAAAAGTTCAACATGGCAAGTTATTGTAATCAGCCTGTTAACTAAATAAGTTATCAATTCGGGATAAAATTTAAGATTCATGTAGATTTTATGTTTTGGAGAAACTGAATTTTTTAGATGAAATGTATTTTCATTTTGAAGAGGTTTAACCTCACAATATTTCATATCTAGCTTTTATTTTCATATTCAGGTCATATTCAAGATGGACCATTTTGGAAATGGAGTATTAATTGAAAGTGAACGTTTGAATGAAGTACTGGGGATATCTGAAGGTTACTACACATTTGACAAGTTCCGATACATGTGTATCCTGTCTGGTTGTGATTACCTCCCTTCTCTACCCGGGATAGGACTTGGCAAGGCTAGCAAAGTTTTTAAACTGGCTCGACAGACAGATTTACAACTGGTAAGTTCTCCTTTTCCTGCACAAGTAAGACTGGACAAGGTGTTAACACTGGCCAACAGACTGACTCACCTCTGTTATGTTCTTCCTTCTCTACCAGGGAGAGGACTGGGCAAGATGTTTACTGTACTGAATCTGATGTTGCAGTCCTCTGGCAGTGTAAGGGAGATATTTACCTGGTATGATATTGTTTTAGGTAGTCTAAGTTGTCGGCATTCTCTGGCAGTGTAAGGGAGATAATTTACCTGTTATCCTGTTAGGTAGTCTAAGTTGTCGGCATTCTCTGGCAGTGTAAGGGAGATAATTTACCTGTTATCCTGATAGGTAGTCTAAGTTGTCGGCATTCTCTGGCAGTGTAAGGGAGATAATTTACCTTTAATGCAGGTTAGATAATTAGTTATTTTTACTGCAATCTATATGTAAGCTGCCTTTTTGATTAACAAAATATATTTAATCAAATGGAAATCATTATAATTAACATTTAAAAAAAAACTAACAAGAAACTAACACTTTTCTCTTCACAGACTTTGTCATAAATACCTGTCTTAAATATTGTAAAATGATATCTGAAATATTTTAAAAGAAAGGATTATATCACAAGAGAGTTTCAGATGTTGTGCAATAATGATTTCTTTTACAATTTCATTGTTTTTGAAACAAGCCAGCATTACATGTTTGCTTATATCAAATGTTTGGTTATATCAATGTTAGTTGTGAAATAACTAATGATGGTTAGTCTTATGCTTCATACTGACCTAATATCGTTAATCGAAAATTTCAGACATAGATGTGGATCTCCTTATTTAAAATTATTAAGAAAATTAATTGATTAATTATTCCTTCTGTGTTTCAGTTACTGATATTTATTGATTTGTTTTGTTCAAGTTGCTGAAGAAGTTCCCATCAACATACCTGAAGATGTCTCTGGCTGTTCCCCAGGAATACATTGATAACTTTATCAAGGCTGACAATACATTTCTTTACCAGCTGGTGTTTAATCCTCTGACAAGGGAGCTCATACCCCTTAACCCATACCCTCCTGAGATCAACAAGGATGAACTTCACTATGCAGGACCGTATCTTTTTAAAAATGATACCAAACACAAATCTTACCAAATAGGCCCAGGTTTAGGATGTTTCACAAGTAGCTTGCGAAGATGAAGAACCGTCAGTTTTGTTATAATGAATAACTGATCAATACTGTTACATACTAGAAGTTTCCATTTTGTGATCAAAATGACACACATCTAGTTGAATGTCAAGTACATAGAAACTTTCAAAAGTTCTCAATTCATAAGCTACATTATGCAACATATTCAGAGAAAGACTTGATTTTAATTGAATTTCAATCTACTGTGGAAGAAGTTCCCACAGGTTAGATAGATATAACATAAGCAATACTGGCCTATCAGGCTTCTGGTAGCTTTTTAAACATTTGCGCTGTAAGAAACTATCAGTTATTGACACTTTAACTTTCATAGTTACATTCCTGCAAACAAGGCGCTGCAGATAGCACTGGGAAACATAAACATCTACACAATGCAACAGTTTGCCAACTTTAATCCGGATACTTATGTGGTAGGTATGACCTATGGACTGTTGTATGTGATCTGTTTACCTATGTGGTAGGTATGTGTAAATGATTTTGTGATGTGCTATTGATTATGTGATGTTGTGTTATTGATTTTGTGATGTGTTATTGATTATGTGATGTTGTGTTATTGATTATGTGATGTTGTGTTATTGATTTTGTGATGTTGTGTTATTAATTTTGTGATGTGTTATTGATTATTTGATGTTGTGTTATTGATTTTGTGATGTTGTGTTATTGATTATGTGATGTGTTAATGATTATGTGATGTTGTGTTATTGATTTTGTGATGTGTTATTGATTATGTGATGTGTTATTGATTATGTGATGTTGTGTTATTGATTTTGTGATGTTGTGTTATTGATTTTGTGATGTGTTATTGATTATTTGATGTTGTGTTATTGATTTTTGGATGTTGTGTTATTGGTTATGTGATGTGTTATTGATTATGTGATGTGTTATTGATTATGTGATGTTGTGTTATTGATTTTGTGATGTTGTGTTATTGATTTTGTGATGTTGTGTTATTGATTTTGTGATGTGTTATTGATTTTGTGATGTTGTGTTATTGATTATGTGATGTGTTATTGATTATTTGATGTGTTATTGATTTTGTGATGTTGTGTTATTGATTTTGTGATGTGTTATTGATTATTTGATGTTGTGTTATTGATTTTGTGATGTGTTATTGATTATGTGATGTGTTATTGATTATTTGATGTTGTGTTATTGATTTTGTGATGTGTTATTGATTTTGTGATGTGTTATTGATTATTTGATGTTGTGTTATTGATTTTGTGATGTGTTATTGATTATGTGATGTTGTGTTATTGATTTTGTGATGTTGTGTTATTGATTTTGTGATGTGTTATTGATTATTTGATGTTGTGTTATTGATTTTTGGATGTTGTGTTATTGGTTATGTGATGTTGTGTTATTGATTTTGTGATGTTGTGTTATTGATTTTGTGATGTTGTGTTATTGATTTTGTGATGTGTTATTGATTATTTGATGTTGTGTTATTGATTTTTGGATGTTGTGTTATTGGTTATGTGATGTGTTATTGATTATGTGATGTGTTATTGATTATGTGATGTTGTGTTATTGATTTTGTGATGTTGTGTTATTGATTATGTGATGTTGTGTTATTGATTTTGTGATGTGTTATTGATTTTGTGATGTTATGTTATTGATTATGTGATGTGTTATTGATTTTGTTATGTTGTGTTATTGATTATGTGCTGTGTTATTGATTATGTGATGTTGTGTTATTGATTTTGTGATGTTGTGTTATTGATTATGTGATGTTGTGTTATTGATTTTGTGATGTGTTATTGATTTTGTGATGTTGTGTTATTGATTATGTGATGTGTTATTGATTTTGTTATGTTGTGTTATTGATTATGTGATGTGTTATTGATTATGTGATGTTGTGTTATTGATTATGTGATGTGTTATTGATTTTGTGATGTTGTGTTATTGATTATGTGATGTGTTATTGATTATGTGATGTGTTATTCTATTCAGCCTCCCAAAGCAAACAGCAAGAAGAATTCCTGTCACTTACATCTGTTGTCTATGTGGAATAAACAGTACAGAGTCAGACCCCAGATTTTGGACAAAGAGACACAGGAAGTTTCACGTCCAAATTTACAAGGAAAAGAACAAACATGTGCTTTCAAATTTGAAAGGAAAAGCCCCAATAAAAGACAAAGATCTGGTATGTGTGATGGTATAGATAATCATTGTGTTAATTTTTCTGTTCAAGTATATATTCTTCAACATTTTCTTTTTCTATTCATATTCCAAGTGCTAGCACTGAATATTTCACATGCATTGAATCATAGTTATCTGGCAGAAGGTTTCACCTGAATGAAAGAAAACATTTTGTTTTGTACTTAAATTCACAGTAAATTTCTTATATTTTGTGAACAATTGATTTTGAGGACTTCTCTCTTCAGACATATTCTCAAAAATTCATTATTTCGTGAACACTGAAATAGAAATTACTTCAACTTTGCAAATGATGAGCTATCAGAGGTGTAGACTCTTCAAAACTGTTTTCGTGTAAATAATTGCAATAGATTTGAACTTGTGATTGGTTCTTGTGTATTAATGCAAAAATAAATCTGATGCGAAATATAAGTGATTGATAGTAATTAAATCTTTGTGATGTTTTTTATCGTTATGGTACCCTTTGTCTTTCTCTTAAGTGGTCACTATAGTCAGGTGTGACTGTATGTGAAGGTGTAAAACTCTATTATCTCTTCCTGTTGTCTTTACAGTGGACGAGACCTGTGACATCAAGTCTAATACAGACTTGTCAGGGAGATATCTATCACCTCTGAAGGACGAGTCCATCAACAGATGTCGGCCAGAAGACGTCCTGTCTACCTTATCACCATGCCGTAAACGAGCAAGACTGGACCTCACCACCAGGCCCACAGTCGACTCCGCGGTATCAGAATCTGATGTAGAAGATGATGAGGAAGCTTTAACTTCTCCAAAGAAAGAGTCATCTCGGAACAGAATAAATTTTATGGCTTCCCTTAAGGAAGCTGACACTGATATGTCAGGTAATAAGCTGGAGTCACCAGACAAAGACTCCATAAAGGAAAACTGTATGCTGTCTCCAAAAAGGAACAAGTTTGCAGTGCTGATGGCCAAACGACCCAAGTTTGACATCAACGCCAAAAAAGAAGTCAAAAGCAGGTAAGGAAATTGTATATCAGGTTATATATCAGAATATTTTTACACTTTTACACTGTATTTAGAAACTGATTAAAATTAGATATTGACAACATGCAGCCATCTTGGATTTTGAGTGTCGAAATTTGTATTTGCTGATTCCTAGTTGTGCATATTGCTTTTTTGGGAATAACTGGTGCAAGTGGGCATTTTTTACAAGAGTTGAAAATTTCATTGCTATTTCGATAATGTGTCTTTCTCAGATACATTTATATCATTTAGGCTTGCTTAAGACATCTGTTGTGCATCTTAAAATATGGGAGTGATGTAAACATACATATTGTAGTAGTTAGTAGTTACTGTGTGTTGTTCTCATAGCTATTAATGGGAATCTGCAAATTCATCAGTGTGCTTAACTGGTCTAAATGGATGTTGTTATTAAATTTGATTGCGTCAGATTTGATTGGGACCGACTAAAAAATTAATTGCCTGTAGATTGTGAGATGTTGAATTTATTGGTTTATTACAACAAGTACTGATGTGATCTCTTAAAACTTAGTCGTGTAGGTTTTCTTGATTCCTGGTTCACAGTTTCCAGTTCTAGTGACATTTAGTGGAAGTATTACTCTTTTTAAAGCAATCTGTATATATTTGTGCATGTTTCAACACTGAATGGTTGGTTATACAATATTGACAACTGCAGAGAGCAGAAGAAATAAATAAATCAGTTCCAAAAATATACGATCTTGAAGGATCCCGGTAAGGTCCCTCTTGTATCAGTTCTGTTTTGAAAAACAAATTGAGCTGATAGATTCAGGGTTTGAAGACTTTGCTCAGAAAATTAAAATTGTACAGCCCTGACATATCATCGTAATATTGGCCACAATATGGCAAATGTGTCAAGTTGTCATAAACAAATTATGAGATGAAGTAAAGAAAGTTGAATTCTTTAAACATTTTATCTGATTGTTTTTTTCCTTGGCCTCTTGAGTACAGTATGTTATGGTATATTTTGTAGGTATTTTGTGTCTGACAGAGGCAACACGGGGACAACAAATGATAAGGAGGGCAATGCCCCAATAACCATCTCCCAGCGGACGAAACAAAATTCTCCAGTCTCAAAAACCAAAGTGATGTCACCAGAACCAAAGGTCAAACTGACGTCCCCAAGTAAGAAAGCTAAGAATGGATCAAAAGGCCAGATGAAGCCTTCTCCTGGATCAGCGTTTACTTGGTCAAAGTTTAAGTTTTCTAAACAGACTGAAAAGCAATCATCAAAAGAAAACTCACAGTTTAAAGAGATTGTCAGCAGACCACAATTAAAAACCTCTTTAACCAAATCGATGTCAAGTTCAGAGCTTGTCTTGTCCAGTAGTGATGAAGTTATTATTAAAGATGTATCTTCTAGTCAACCCAATCCTAGTTGCCATGGTTACAGTTCTCAGGATTCCCAAGATATTACAGTCCATGGAGACGGCCTACAGAGCAGCTATGACAATGTTTGCGGTAGTGTAGACTCTTACTGTATGCCAGACAGCCAAACATCAGTAGATCTAACTGCATCCCTTCCTTCTCTCACCTCATCTACTTCCAACAGCAATGTTGAAGAGGATATGAGCCAAACTTCAACGATCTCTGCCTCATTACGTGTATCTCCAGGATTCCCTAGACGCTCAATAAGTGGTAGGTACCGTACCTGTATATGCTGATAATATGATAACTGAGATTCCAGTGTACCATATCTATCCGGCTCAAGGAGGACCCATTTGTCCTCAGAAAAGCTCTGGGTCAAAAATATGTCTGTCACCAGGTCTTATTACATAAAAAAATATTACATATAAATACAGTACATGTGGATAGTTTTGGCTTCTCTTCCAAAATGTGCACAGTTAGAAATGTCATAATTTCACTTATATATTATCAGATATTAGTTTGTGTATGTATTGCAGTGTGTGATATGTTATATGTAATGTGTTGATGTATGTGAAGTGCTCTGTGTAATGTGTTGCCATGTGTATTGTGTTGCTATGTGTGATGTGTTGATGTATGTGAAGTGTTGCTATGTGTAATGTGTTGCCATATGCATTGTGTTGCTATGTGTGATGTGTGTTGCTATGTGTGATGTCTCTAAGTGTACTGTGTTGTTGCCATGGTAAGACAGGATTCTACTCACCTCTGTAGAGTTTGTAGCTAAGCTGTATCCTGCTTGATTCCTCACCTTACCTTTCCCAGGTGTGATGAAGGCAACTTGTCGAGTATCTGGATTGTCACGAGGTCAGAAAACAGCTAAGACAAACAAGGCTCCAGACACGAAGCAGCGCAGCATCAAAGACCTTTTCTCCAAATTCAGTCATACTAAGTAGGTAGCAGCTCTTAAGTTGATACTTTATGATGAAATGTAACCTTTCAATTTCTAATTTCATAACCTTGTAAAATTACTTTGTGTCATAGAAAAAGAAAGTTGCTAGAGAGATTTAAAATTTCTGCAAGTGAAAATATTTGATCAGCTCTGTTGTCAGCGGGTCAGAGGACAAACATGTTAAACGCTTTATTCAAATTGCTTAATGTGAAATGCAAAATACTTAGTGTGAAATGTTTTTATAAAGAAGTAGTTTTATTATTAGGGATAATTGAACTGGAGGATACACAAAATGTACATGGCTGCCTATGATGTAAAGTGACTGTGACACATTCAGCAGCTCGTATTACTAGGACCCTCTTCATGCAGTAGTGTATCATGTGTTGGTCCGTCATCTGTTATTCCAATGTCAACATTTTCATTTAAACAAATTCTTCTCTATAACCAGCTGACCAAATGTCATGGTATTTTGCTGAATGGTAGCTTGAACGAAGCTCTACAAAGTTTGCAAAAAGAAATGATCTTAACCTTTATTCAGGGTTACAGGGGTCAAATTTGTCAAAACCTTAAATGCCTGATTTTAATTAACTAAAAGGTGCAAAAGTGTGGTATATGTCTGTTAGGTTCCTAGGGTGATACCTGACAATATTTGGGAAAAGACATTAATTTGATCTGTATTGAAGGTCACATGGATAATATTTGTTGAAACCTGTAAAAAAAGAAAAGATTCTTTTGGTAAACCACAAGACCAAGAAGCAGGATATTTGATTGAAAAGTGTTTCTAGGTGAAAACCGAAAAAATCAGTAAAAACGAAATTGCAATTACCTATAATCCAAGTGAAAACTATCGCTGTTTAAAGTTGAGTATTAGAAGCTGTTTGTTGTGGTTAAAATTAATGGGATGCATCCACTTTGAATGCTGAAGGTATACATGTCAATATATTTGTGATATTAACTTATTTTAACTGAACATTGAATAACAGATGAGTGAATGAGGCCCATTGAGCCTCTTGTATAGAATTTCCCACACAAAACATGTATGTAGCTAATCTCACATCCTAAACCAACTAAATTATCTTAGAGATTTATGGTCTTCTTAAAATCTAAAATCTATTAACCCTTTCGGTGCCAAATATCTCTCACAATGTACAGCTCAAATATTTTCTGGAAAATATCCGAAAACAATGGCAGCATTACTGAAACAAGCATATCTTGACTAATAATAAAGATACCAAAATTGTCGACCAAAGTCACCTATGACGGCCTGTCTGCATGTCGCCTACGGCGCTGAAAGGGTTAAACAAATCAGAATTAGCCTAGTGTATGCAAAGAGACTTAGGGTCAAAGGTCAAAATTCACAGTTAATTACTAGCAGATTTCTGCTCATCATTGATTCCCATATCAAACTGGTTCATTTTAGTTTGTCTTTACTTAAGTTCAGTTTTATCCTAACAGGAAATCAGAAAACTGCATTTGTCTTATTATGATCTGTGATTCTGTTCATGGCTGTTTTTCTTTCTAGGTCAACTCCCAAATTAAGTCACTCCGAAGCAGTAATGATCAAGGATGAAGAGGTGCTTGTAACAACTCCATCTACAGACAACAGGGTGCTATCTACATTGGGCGGTGTACAGAGGAAGCTCCTTGCCTGAACCAGACAAATTACATTATGGACAAAAGTGGACGGAGTACAGAGGAAGCTCCTCCTTGCTTTATTTAATCAATGGAGAAATTCAGAGTGGGCAAAGTACAACAGAAACTACTTTCGTAAACCAGACAATTTTATGTTTTTAATCCATGAATGAATTGGCAATGGGCAAAGTACAAAAAATGCTCTTTTCCTGAGCCAGACAATCTTAATCCATGGACTGATTTTGATTAAACAGACAGAAGTTCTTTAACAGACAACAGATTATTTTAATTAATTGTAATTATGATTTTATGATCTCATTTGTATACAAGTTTTAGAAGTGCTGAATTGACTCTTTACAAACGTTTTGATGATTAAATAAATGATGAATGATTTATCTGTAGTAATTATGGTATTAGTGTTGTACAAGCCTTCATTGATCTTCATCAATCTTTGGTTTAGTAAATGTGTTTAGTGGATGTTTCACTATCATTCATATTTCTGATTGAACTGATTTAACAATACTCACACAAATCTACTATTTTATTTGGTCTTCAGTTTCGCTTAAAGAAGACATTAACAATTGTTTGTATTCTTCAGAGGTTATGGTTTTCGTACAAATGAATGGAAAATCTGAATCCTTGAAATTTGGGAGATGCCTTTTAATCATGATAAATATGTAATTCTCAACATAACATTTGGTATACTGAACATTCTCATAGTATGACCAATGTATACACAAAGTTTCATGATCCTAGTTTTGATACAAGCAAAGCCATGCTCATGACACTAAATTTTTAAAAAGGGCATTAACTCTTGAATCAAGTATTACAGGCCCTAACATTGGTACACTGCACATTGTCTTCATATGATCAATGTTGCAATTTTCAAGTTTCATTATCCTAGCTTAAATGAAAGGAAAGTTATACTGTGGACAAGATATTTTGAACAAAGTGCATGCTACAGGCCCAATATCAAGACCCTTGGCTTTTTGGTTATTTAGAATAAGTTGCATATGCATTTCAATGCATTTGACCCCTGTGACCTTGATATAGGGTCAAGGCAATTCATTTTAACAAATTTGGTTGCCATTCATCCCATAATGTTACAGGTCCAATAGCACCCTGGTCCATTTGGTTATTGAGAAGAGTGGTTTGAAGATTTTAACATATTTGACTTGACCCCTGTGACCTTGAAAATGAGTCTAGGTCATTTACATTTATAAACTTGGTAGCCCTTCATTTCATCATGATACAAGCCCAATATCAGCACCCTGTGTGTTTCGACTATTGAGAAGTAGTTTAAAGATTTCAACATGTTATACTCATATGACCTTGAAAGTGGATCAAGGTCATTCATATTAACAAACTTGGTAGCCCTACATCCTAGCATGCTACATGCCTAATATCACCAGTCTGGACCTTATGATTATTGAGAAATGGTTTAAAAATTTAAACACATTTGACCCTTGTTGGTCAAGGTTATTCATATTGACAAACTTGGTAACTATAGGTCATCCTGACACTTCAGGTCAGATGAACTAAAAATACAATTATTGGATAAAGGGCTTCCAACTTTGTTCAAATGATTGACCTTGGTCCATTTTCAAGGTCACAGGTCAAACTTAAAATTTCATATTTTTTAAAAAAAAAAGCAATAGGTCCTCACTGGTATTTGTGACATACTTGAGGTGTAGGCTTTCAGAAATTGACTTATGATGACCACCATGTTTTAACAGTAATTAAAATCTCTCTGAATAATGTTCAGGAATATTGAATGTTCCAGAGGCAATTATTCTAATTTTTACTTGAATGCACATAAATTTCCTGGAAGTAGAGGAAGAAGGCTTTAAAACTTTGGCGGGATCCATCAAAGATAAAATATTTATAAGAGATTGAATGTATACCAGTAATTGAAATGATAATACTGACAACTTAGTTGTGTCGTGTCCTATAAAGATCTCTGTTATTTTTTCTGTACAAGTGATGAAAGGGATAGGTGTTACTGTAATTTTTTTTCAAATAATTCAAATTTTCTTCATAATATAATTTTTTAGGTATCTGGTAACTATTTTTGTTCACAGTTCTATTCAATACATAAAAAAAGAAGAAAAAAATAAAAGAGAAATAAAACCCCTAACTGTCACATAGGTCTTTTTACAGTGGAAGGAAACTACCCCAGGGAAAAACATGAAGTCAAACAGGTACGCTACACCTTTTCTGGTGACCACAAGACACTTTCATGAAAGGTGAGGATGTACATCAACCTCCTACCCACACTACCTACAGACTGATAGCATGTGATAGTGTGTCAGATATAGACAAGGCAGAAGACTACAGACTGATAGCGTGTGACAGTGTCTGATATAGACTAGGCAGAAGACTACAGACTGATAACACGTGACAGTGTGTCAGATATAGACAAGGCAGAAGACTACAGACTGATAGCATGTGACAGTGTCAGATATAGGCAAGGCAGAAGACTACAGACTGATAGCATGTGACAGTGTGTCAGATATAGACTAGGCAGAAGACTACAGACTGATAGCATGTGTCAGATATAGACAACAGACTGATAGTATGTGACAGTGTCAGATATAGAAAAGGCAGAAGACTACAGACTGATAGCATGTGCCTGATATAGACAACGCAGAAGACTGCAGACTGATAGCATGTGTCAGTGTGTCAGATATAGACAACAGACTGATAGTATGTGACAGTGTCAGATATAGACAAGGCAGAAGACTACAGACTGATAGCATGTGACAGTTGCTTGATAAAGACAAGGCAGAAGACTACAGACTGATAGTATATGACAGTTGCTTGATATAGACAAGGCAGAAGAGCAAATACAGTATCAATAAATTTATTGACAAATCATTCTCAAGAAAAAAAAAACAAAAAAAAAAAAACATTGATTGTTATAACTTGACTGAAACAAACAATAAAATATCAATACATTTTAAACTATGACTTAAACAAATACACGAAATAGCTAAAAAGTACAGTTTAAAACATTTATTATCAAAACAAGCAATGCAATTTACCACCTGACTTGTACATAGAAAACAGCCATCATAAAATATCTACATCATAACACACTACATTAACCCATCAATATACCCTCACCTGGCAAGACCAAATGTATCTATTGCAATACTGTAAACCTATGCATTTTCAATGCTATTTATTTTCATAATTTCACTCTCCTTAACCATTTTACATTTACTGTATATATTTTCATGATTCTTACTATTTTTAGGCAAAATGTAACATAATTATGGCTTCAGCCCGTTGTCCTAACTTTCTGACTGGCAGGAATATTTCAATGATTTACTGGTGACCCCTAGCGACAGTTGTATGCTATAAGCAATATCACCATCTTTTAAAACAGTGTCATGCATGCATACTGTCGCTATGAGACAAGTATTATACTAAAAACAAAAAAAGACTAGGTGTTAATGAAAATATTCAGATTGATATTTGCATCAATGAAGCTCCAGTTTATTACTGAGTCACTTGGTGAGACTAATTTTGATGATAAATATCTTGATTATGTTTTGACAATTTATTGCTAGATATTAAACAATAACAGGGCATTATTGGATGTTTGTTACTAAACTAACACTGGTTTACTAAGAGGTGGGCATGAAACAATAGACTGGTTATAGGGATACAGAAATACGCCAAGAAAATACTGATTTTAGATGTGTATATACACTTATGATGCATGAAATAAGGCAGTTATGGTATAAGTGTACAATAATACTATATCTCACAATCACCATCACATTTTAAATGTTCACCTGCTCTACAACAATTAACATCATTCATTTATAAACTTTTGGCCAAACGGTCCATCAGTACAACATGTTCATATACAAGGTACAACATATATGTGGAATATATCTGAACCATGGTAACTACTAAACAAAAATGAAACATTAAAAGGATGCAACCATCAAAAAACTTGTTATAGTTACAATATTTATCGTGCATTACTCTATATGCTGTGATCAGTTCGGTGTTAACAGCCTCTACACACTTCTGCTTCCCTTCTCCAACATATTTGTCATCCTGAAAAACTCCTCTTTACAAAATATATACTTCTGCTTTGCAATCTCATAACATTGCTTCCCAGTATTTACTGGTGTTATATAGTTTACTTCAGTTTAGTTTAGTTTATTACCAGTGCAGGATCGTTACGATCCTCTATACCGGTCTCAGTGATACAATGATAATGTTTATAATTATTGTCATTTGAGACGTCAGATCCAGGAACTACAGAATTTCTGCTTTATAATTATATACCAGTTCTTGATATATAGCTCTCCTATCCTTCAGCAAATTTTTCAACCCTCTTGGAAGAAACAATGGAAGTTTCTCATACCAGGTACCTGAATAGAAAATTATTTTACAACAATTGTGAAACAATTTATTCCAATTTATATTAATCACTCTTGTTGGTCTGAATGGAAGCGCACATAAGGTCTTATGTATACTGTGGGAAGAACATGCAGTATCCTGGGAAACCCACGTGGTTGGGTCGGTGACCCCTGACCTTTTCATATCCATTCCTGGATGTCTTGGTGAAAGGTGAGTGCTTTACCATTTTTGTATAGCAAAAATAAACATGAATACAATTAGATGTTGCAGATTATTGATTTTTGATTTTACAGAGTAGACATAACATTTATCTAATATCAGTATCGAAAGGCAAACATGTGGACACCATAAATTTTGAAGGTAAGGACTAGTTACCTAATACATAAACACAATGTATACATAATCATCTTAAATACAAAACAAATTAATATAGATATATATATATATATATATAAAACAAATTATCAAATCTATTACATCTTTAAGTACACACACTTCTGAGAACATTTCTAAACATTTGTATACCAATGTAGGCAAGAGGTTGTAATGTAAACCTGAAATTTGAACTTATGTTATGCCAAAGTTTCACATTCAGTTACTCCTATTTAACACTGTAAACTCAAAATGTAAGTTTCACTTCTACTTGCATCTAGCTTAGTTCA